TGCTGACGGGGGTATGGTCAGAACATGTCAAATCTCGTTTTGGAGCAACTTTATCAAAATGCTCATTATTGGCGGTGGGGTGAAATTCCCCTTTCTGAAAAGGGAATGCTGGCTGGCAGTTCAGCGATTGCAGTCGCTGTCAGCCGAGTTAGGCCAGAAGTACAAAGCGAGGCTAGTTCTCGTGGAGCTTCAGCAAGTGTCACCTTTTGGAAGCAGACGTTACCACAAGCTGGTAACTTGGCCAGCGCATTGCATACTGCTCCTCTTCCGAGCAGCTTTGTGTGTTACTGGGCTTTCGACTTGGTGGCATGTACTTCAAATCCATAACGGTGAGCTAACCTGGGCTCAGAGGCTTCAGTCTTAAATATTTAGCTTGAGATGGGCAGGGTGTAGCCTGGCACAGCAGAGCCCTCGTGCTGCCGGCTGCGGCCTTGGCATGCGGGTGGAGGAGCCCCTCGGTTACAGGCTTGGTGTCTAATTGGAGAAGGTCTTTTACGGCACCGGTTGGGAATCTTGAATCCCTTTCCGCTCTCCATTTTATTTCAGCGGCCAAGTCCATTAGTGGTTCAGTGATGCAGTATAAATGATAAAGCTTTGAATAGTGACCCTTTAAGGCAGGGGTGAGCAAAGTCCAGCTCGTGGGCTGGATCAGGCCTATGGTGGACTCCATTTCCCAGCAGCCCCTGCATGCGTCTCTGCAGGTGGTTTCCATGGTGACCCCAGGAGGAGCGGGGCATGACAGCGCAGGTGCAGTGTTTCCATGGAGATTGGCCCCAGCTCTGGGGCAGGGGTCTTGTGCCGGTGGCAGCATGGCCTGGAGCTGGGTGAGAGCTGCGGTCTGCTGCCCGCACGCCCCGGGCAGGGATGTGCAGGCAGCGGATTGCTGCTCGGCCCCGCTCCGGACCACGCCGTCACCATTGCAAGATCCCGGCCCTGCCCAGCCACGTGCCCTGCCAGCACTGCTGGGGCCGGTCTCCATGGAAACCCTGGCCTTGTGCTATCATGGCCCCGCTGCTGTTGGGGTCTCCATGGACGCCAGCCACAGTGACGCAGGCAGGGGCCGCTGGGAAATGGAGTCCAGGCACGTGCCGGATCTGCCGTTTTTCCCACCCCCGCTCCAAGGGTTTGACGCTGCTGTTCGCAGCGCTGCCTCCACAGAGAGCACCTCCGACCCTGGCACTCCACACCTGCCCATCAGGCCTCCCACGCACTCAGATCGCAGGATTGAGGCTTTTGTTCTCCCACTTTGTGGAAATCACCTGGGAGCTGCCTCCGATCCTGGCCAACACCCACAGGTTTCCTGTTGACAAATAGCTCATTCGGCGTGAGTACCTGCCCGGGAAACGGGGAGAACTCGCTGCGTCTCTCTGGCGTGTCAGGAACAGGTTGGACGTCCCTTCCTCCCAGGCACCGTGTGCGTAAGAAGAAGGAAGTCCTGGGGGGTCTGGAAATGCAGGCAGGAATTTGAAACAACAGAGCAACAGAAAACATGCACACCGGTAAAAATACACCCAGACTTAGCGGCAGTCTAATGCCCATCTCTCCTGCTGACATCCATGTCCCAAACTAATAGCCGCTTGAGTCCACGCTGTCCTCTCTCTTCCCGGCCACACTCAGTTTGGCCAGGAGTCTCGGTGAAGGCTGACTTCACTCCCAGGAGATTGTTTGTGGAAGCATCACCACGTAACCCAGCCTCGTGATTCAGCTTCCTCGACTCGACTCGGCTTGCAGCTTCGCAATGTGGCCGGGATGTGTTGGAGCATGCTGGCGGTCGGTATAGCAGGGCGCTGCAGGATGTGGGTAATGCTGCTCAGAGCTGACGACGAGCACAAAATGTGCAACTGGCTTCCATACTTACTTTTACAGCAGCAAACTTCTTAGACCCAGGAGGACCTAGGGAGCGGGTTCATTAGGAACCTCTCCATCTTGGTCATTACAAAGTGGGGAAGGTGTGCGCCCTGGTGAGAAGGTGTGCTCTTAATTATTATTATTGTTTAACTACTGTGTGGTCTTCAGCAAACTATTAATCTCTTACATATCTCAAGAGGAGGTTAGATGGGCATCTAGCTGGGGTCATCTAGACCCAGCACTCTTTCCTGCCTGTGCAGGGGGTCGGACTCGATGATCTATTGAGGTCCCTTCCGACCCTAGCATCTATGAATCTGTAAGCTTCAGAAAATGTATTATTAATTTGCTGTCGGGGCCATTAAATTAAACGGAACAAGTGTTTGTAAAGCATCCTGAGATCCTCAGTTGAAACAAGTTGCAGACATGCGTTATAATATTTTTACGTGTGGCTTATTAAACCTCCCCAAAAATGTCTTTCAGGTTCTAAATGGCTTCAAAGAAGTCGGGATCAGACTTTCATGGTAAGTGAAGTGAAATTTAATTTATTTGTATTTGTTATTATATGTGTTTATTTGCTTTATTTAAATGGAAGGGCTGCTTAATTTGAGGAAGCCCCAGTCTAAATGTCTATTCTTCTAGCAAAGCGAGAGGAAAAGAAACCTGTAACAGGGAATAGAGCGGCTCCAGGGGTTAATGCAGAGATTCTCAAGCATTTCTCCCATGTCATGTTGACCAGAAGTCATCATTTTCTCTTGGCCATTTGATTGAACTGTGAGAGCTTGAGTCCGAGTTTGGTTCCAGTCTGAGTTTTCACTGGACGCCTGTCTGCTGTCGGCAGTCTTTGGCCTTCTACGGCCAGGCGCTCCGCGGAGACTAGGCTGTTCTGTATCCCAGAGCCAGTTCCTCCACATCAGGATTCACGCACATGGGGGACATGGTCTTGCTCTTTGCTGTTTCTACTAGTTATTCCTGCCCTTAAGCTAAGTCGGAAGTTTCTGGTTGCCATTTCCGTTGGTTTCGTTGGCACTAAGGAGGCTATAGAAATTAAGAGATTCTCTAGTTTTGGAAGGTGAAAATATGACTTGGAAAATGAGGGTTGGAATGGACTTCAGGAGGTCCCTGCTGCTTGATTTTTTGCAGAAGCAAATGTTTTATGGTTAAATCTGTAGCTGCACTTTGCTTTTAACCTGTTGTTCCTCACAAATAACTTCCTCAAAGTCTCTTTGTGAGATCAACTACTCACGCTTTGCGCTGGCTTGAGAGTGGGAAAGGATGTTTCTTTTAGGTACCGATCTTGCAAACGTTTAAGCAGATACTTAACTTTATGCAGATGAATCGCGCTGGGATCAGCAGCAAAACTTGCTCGTGTAAATCTAAGCGGATGGATGGGTAGGTGGGAAGAGAGTCAGTTTCTGGGAGGGGTGGAAGAGTGACTGAGTGTCCTGAAACTTCAAAGGCCAATTTTTTTTTAATTATTATTTTTATATTTTTTGCATTATGTGCAAATCTTGCTGTCACGTGCAACCAGGAATCTTGTAGTTGGTGACCAAGACCAGTGCAGGCTGCTGTGTGTTTGCTTTCCAGATGGTATTTTAGATGAGGAAAATGGGATGACTGCTCTCTTGCCTGGCACCCCAAGTCTTGGAAGTGTTCATGTCATCAGGTTTATCCTTACACTTTTGAGGTCCTTAACTGATGTTGGCATGGAAACAAACCAAACAGACTAAGCCGGGGTGCTCAACCCTCGCCCATGGGCCAGATTTGGCCCATGACCCATGTCATCCAGCCTGTGGGGCTGCCCATGGGTCCAGGAATTTGGCGGCAGGAGAGCGGCGGCACCACTCCCCCAGCGCCATGGGGAGCCCCAGGCTGTGCACACTGGATCTGGCACTCAGCCCCAGTGTACTGGCCTGAGTGGCAGTGGTGCATGGCCTGAGGGCCCAGTCCTGGCGTTGGGGGTGGGGAGGGGGCCTGGGATCCAATCCCAACATGTGGGGGGCCAGGGATGGGGTGCTGCTGGGCTCCAGAGCCTGGTCCTAGCACATGGGGCTCACTCGGCCCGCTCATCTGGCCAATGCAGTCAAATGGTTGAGCATCACTGACTAACCAGTTTTCACTGTCTGAGATAAATGCACAAAGGAACCAGAGTAAATCCTGGAAGCTGGCTTGGACACTCTTTTTCCTAATGAAGTATGAAAATAGATGAGAGAGCTTGTATTTATCACCACCGTCCTTTAAGTTTCCAGGGGCCCAGTGAGCTCGACGGCACGCACCTGCAAAGCCCTCCTAATTGCTGGCTGCCGTTGAACTGATATTGCAGTGCAGAACTAATGCTGCTTCTGGGGCCCCGAGTTTCCTGGTTCTGGCCTCTATTTGTGTTCTGGTTAAAAGCAGACTTAACCAAGGTCCTTGGCCTCTTATTTTAATTGCATACCAAGGCATAAAATAAAAATAACAGTAAACCCCCTCTACAAACATCAGTTTAAATGCCTCCTACCTGGCTCTGCTCACATTCCTACAATAAGAGTTAACAGCTTGTATTTTCTCTGGTGGCTGCCGACTGTTCGGCAGTTGTTTTTGTGTAAGCTTGAACAGCCCGGGTGCGTGTTCAGAACTGCCTGCCTCCCAGTCTGCTCGCTATCTCTTTTTATTTATAATCTGTTTCTCCAGCTGACTGAAAGGGCCACTGCTTAGAGACCCAGGAATTGGCCTGTCTCGAAAAACATTACAGAATAATACAGGCAGCTGGAAAAACGCTCCGGGATTTGCAGTAACTAGAACAGAACAAATGGGTCCTCGGCAGCAGAAGCGAGGTGAAACGAATGCCCCGTTCGTGTGTCTGCTGCTGCTGGCAGGGGCAGCACTAAGCAGCTTACTGCTGCGTGCCCAGAAACACGCTGGAGACGGGTGAAAGCAAGTTTTGCTTGGTCGTCTCCTGCAAACCGGGCAGGGAAAATTATTTCCAGTCTTTCCTCAGGCTCCAAAAGAATAAATAGGTGACCCTGCCCCTGCGGTGGGATTGCAGCTGCTTACAAAGCAATCCAGCCCATTACTGTTGTAGCTCATCCGGTACAAGGCTGACGCAACTT